TGCGTGCGAAGCATTAAATTAGGATTTTATTGCTGCGTTAAAATCGGAAGATACATACGAAAGCAAATCAGGTATCAGGGAATAATATTGACTTGAATAAGGAGTTTTATCGTATATTTAATAAAAATCATTTATATAATATCATATTTTATTTTTATTTTTGTTCACATCTATTATATTTAATATAATTTAATTTTGAGAAAAAATTAAATAATTGTTTATAAAAATTTGAAAAACCGAGAAATGAAAAATGTATAAATTATAAAAAAAATACATATATTATCTAACAAAAGTATATATTATACAAATATTCAATGGTACTTGAATGAAATATACTGTTTTTTCCTTTTTTCTATCTGCATTGTAAATCTAGCTGACCGTTTCTATCAACCAATTGTTAAATCGCACCCTCGAGAATCCTAAAATATTGGACTGAAAGAAAGAAATGGAAAGTGAAAAGCAAAAGTTAAACGGATGCTCGTGCTTTTCTCTTCGCGAAAAAAATAGAAACTAATACGACATTGATATGTTGCGAATCGTCTCGTGTTGAGGGATTTGTGAGAGAATTGAAAACATTCTCGTGCGCTGCTTTCTTCAAGCCAGAGTCGGATCAGTCAGATTAAGGATCAGTCATGCGTAGTGTTCTTTTTCTTATTTATCATACATTTGTATCAGACCCGAATGTTCGTGAAGATTTCTTCGAAGTTTCCAATATCCAGCGAGATCTCGGATTGAATATGTGTGGTGTGTATTTTATATTTAAATTAACGAGAAAAAATATTTTTACAAATGTTACTTTTCTTTATCACAAACTCGATGTATTAACTTTGTGATGACATCAAGATGCAATTAGAATCTAATCTCAGTATTAAGTTTCGAAAACACATATAAAAGTAACTCGAAACATTAAACTTTAAATTAAGATATTCGAAAATATCTAATTTTTTATTTAAAAAAATATGAAATAATACTAAATATTGTAAAAATAAAAATAAAAATATTAAAATTATAAAATAAAAATAATAAAACGTACTAAATATTATAAAACAAAAATAGAAATTACAGAGACATATGGAAACAAAAATGAAAATTATGTGAACTGAATAAATAAATAAGTTATCTTGCTCCTTTGGGAGGGCTGTTTCAAAGTAACTTAATTCGTCGCTCCTTTGAAACTGAAACATAAAATCTGACATATACACGTACGTGTCGCGACAATCCTAGCGCTTTCTTCATTTTTATTTTCACACGGTACATGCCCCCTATATACGTTGTCAGATACTTAAACTTTTTCTTGATTTTATGCTTTTCGTGTATCATCTCGCCATTTGCCAGACAGTTTTCAGCTCGACGGATCTTCTAACGACGGAACTTTCAATGTGTCGCTACGGATTTATATGGTTTTCGCGATAACGATATAGATACGTCGATGTAATGTACTTCTTAACAATGTACCGGTATTGCGATACACGACATTTCGTTCGCTTTAAACGTGATGAAAAACGCTAATGGTTTCACATTCGAGCGCCTCGCCTCCTGAAAGAATTCTTTATAGTAAAAAATTCAGACTTTAGCTCTATTTTCAATAACGTTTTCAATAACGTTTCTAATTTCGACGTATCTTGATGTAAAAACTATCGTGCAAAATATTACATACTTTTCTTTATATAAAGTTTCTAAAAGTATAAACATTCATATCGTTATATATACATTTGTTCGATATACGGAGTTTCATCTGATCTTTTTCTCGTCTTATTTTCGAATCGTAACGAATAAAAGTTCGATCTTTTTCTCGATGTAATGCCTTTATATATTTCGTACTGCATGCTCTTTGATCTCGCGTGCGTTGTGGAAATCATAGTATTATGATTGACGGTACCCAAAAGAAAGCCAGAGACCGATATTATTCTACTTTCGTGAGGCGAGCAAATGTCGGCGCATACACTGACACGTATCACTTAAATGTTGCCGGTTTCGCGTATAAAGTGCTGTTCCAACACATTCTGACAATGAATTTCAAGAAGGACATAAAATTTGTACTCAGTTGACATCCGCTTACTTTGTATCGCTAAATATTCGGCGAGTTTTACGTTTACACGCGTACGCACAAAGCGCATTTGATGATTAAACAAAATGTTCTAAATTCCTGGATTTACCACAGAACGTGAAAATACAGCGTAAAATTACACGTTTGAGTTTTATTAGAATTACCATAATGAAAGAGTACCATAAGAATACCATAAGAATACCATAATGAAATAGCATAATCAAAGTTATACCATAATTAGAATACCATAGAATTACCATAATGGAATCAAAGTTATAGAATTATCATAATGGAATCTTAAAGTTATAGTTACACGAAGTGTAATATTTCTTGCATTAATCCTCCTAATTATAGTTTCCATCAACGAACATAAACGCACCGATTGCGCGTTTGACGAATGAGTAAAACAAAATTTGCGTTCTTTTCTAAACCATGAAATTCCGTAATCGCACTTTCTTTTCTTTTTCTTACACAGACGCGATAATTGATTATCTACACTCATTACATATTTTCCCGTTGTTGAATTTTAATTGTATTGAGTAAATCGAAGAGCATTAATTCCGTTTATTGAACAAAAAGATATTGCATTCAGTCGACCGAACACGTCATATCGAAATCAGAGTCGACGCGATATTAATTACGCGGCAAATAATCCATGTCACATGAAAACTTAACATTTAATATGTAATACGCGTGAAAATTGAATAAAAAGAGATTCGGTCGGGAGATTTTGCGCCCGGATTGAAACGCAAAAAAATTTCTTCGTAATGTTTCAGCGTTGTCGCATTTGTCTAATATCTTCATTCTGTGTTTTTCACGAGCAAAATTCATACAATTTCTTAAC